CTATATGCTAACTAATTTAGATGTAAATTTTAAAAAATAAAGAAAATTAAAAAAAAATACATAGTATAAATGTAAAAAAAATTTTTTTTTAACTTTTTAAATAAAAAACATGAGTAGCAGAAAAGGATTGTGGTTAAATATCATACACAGGCATTGTAAGAAAAAAGAGAATCATGATCTCAGGAACACCATAATGACAAAGGTGCACCAGGAAGATGCGACCGCAAAGCAGATGAAGCTGTATGTAATATTTCAAAATAAGATAAAAGATACTAAGAAAATGATAGGAGCTATGAGCAAACAGTGTATTCAGAAGTAGAGAAGCCCAGCAAGTAATAGCCAGACAGAAGGGTACAGAGCAACTGCTTACCAGGCTCAGGAATGAATTATGACAAAAAAGGAAACAAAGAGACTAAACTAGAAGGACAGAAGTGAGCAGACACCGTGGAAAGCATACTCTTGGGAAGTAAATAACGAAGAAGAAAATGTCACACATGAAGAGATAAAAAGCGTTGTAACAAATTGATAAATACGGAAGATAAGCAAAGAAGGTCCAGCTCCCCTGCTGCTGGAGCCACTGCCTCAGTGACCTGCTGCTGGGGGGTCGACCACCCCAAAATTAGAGGCTTCAGACAGCAATTCCTTCCATCTGTTTCTTTGGTCTGGTGGGTGGCTCTGCCGGTCTGCCCCCGTTCCCTCCTGTGTTTGCAGTCCCCTGACGACTAGGAATGCCAGACGGTCCCAGATGGCCTTACATGTCCAGCAGTTAGTGCTGGCTGTCCGCTGGGCCCCTCAGTTCTGCTCCACGTGGGTGCCTGGCCTCACAGAGGGTAGGCCAGCCTCCTGTCTGCACGGCAGTCACAGGGCAGCATTTAGGCTCCAAAGTTGCAAGCCATCCTGGGCCTTGCGTGATTCTTGGTCAAGCAAGTCCATGTCAGCCCAGATTCAAGGCTGGGGGTAGACCCCACCTCTTGATGAGGAAGATGCTGTGTCTCAGCCATGCTCAACAGTCCTCAGAGCAGGGAACCAAAGCAGTGCTCTAGGACAAATGCTCAGAAACTACAATTCAAAAACGCTTTTGTGAAATTAAAGAATACTTGGGTCTGCATGTGGAAAGGGCATACTGTGTACCTAGGATGACAGACACTAAGGCACCCTTTGGTAAAGGTGTCAGATTAAAGAAAATGAAAATGAACAACTCCTTTGGGCACACAGGAAAAAGGCCCAAGTTCTATATGAGGGAAGGAAAATTAGGCTGGCATCAGATATTTGACAGCAACATTTTATGACAGAAGACAAGGAAAGAACATATTTAAGGTACTCAAGAAAATGAAACATGAATCAAGGATTTTGTATCCAACCAAAATGGTCTTCATGGTACAAAAGCTACAGACCAGCTATTGTAAACATCCAAGAGAATTTACTGATGAACCACCAGCGGCAGCAGTGGCAGGACTGGAGTAACCAAATAATTGCTGAGAGAAAATTCTGCCCTAAGGAAGCATTCCAGCCAACAGACATGAGGAATGACGTCATTGGAAAGTCACCACCTCACAGTTCCTGTTCAGGGTGCCCTAGGTAATGTCAGTGGTAGTTGAAACCATTGGGCAGAAGTTCAAGGCACGGGTCTGGCTGATGCCCCTGAACCCACTGATCAGCCTGACATCACTCCAGTGGAGCAGCCAGACTTGTGATTTCTAGAAGCATCTATGAAGTACTCTTGACAAAAGAATGAAACCTGGATCTAATCTCACCTTCATGTCTAACCGCCAGCACACACGAGAACAGGAAACACACGAAAGGACGTCTTAAGAATACCATCCATCAAATCCAAAATTTGGGAAACAGTGCGAAACAAGGGACTCGATTTCCTCAACAAATAAACTTCAAATTAAAAAAAGGGTACCATTAAAAATCAGAGAACCTTAAAAAATCTGTTAAAACAGTGCAGTGTGTGGGTGTCGTCTGGACTGGGCTTAAGCTGCACGTGAAAAGATTCTAGACATGGGAAAATTGGAACGTGGATGATTTTAAAGAGTGGTTTGGTTAGGTGGGATAGTTGCTATAGTTGTGCTTGTGTGAAAAGTCTTCGTCAGGGATATGTGTTGAATTATTTATAGGTGAACAATTGTGTTGTCCGGGATTTGCTTAGAAACATTCTAGTCAGCAAAGTGGAAATTAGCTAAAACGATTTTGAGTCTTGACAGCAGGACACAGGGGCCTAGTCTGTCACGTGTGTGCATGCTTGTGCGGTTTCACAGCGAAGACCTTCTCCCCAGCTGGGTCCAGTGCCGGACGGAGTGTGTGCTGGGGACAGCCAGGCCGCCCGGCCCCACAGCCTCCCCACCACCCACAACACAGAGGATCACCACCAACCCCAACGGTCGAAGTGCCAAACGGCTGTGGCGGTCAGATGGCCACGACAGGCTAAGAAGGAAACCGGAGGGAAGAATGCCAAGGAAAATGGAAGATACCGAGACCATTGTGTCGCGTTATCCACATGCCTGACCTGCGTGAGCTCTTTCCTTTCCACAATGTGTCTACCTCTCTTTGTAATTTGCAGCCTACTACCGATTATGAACTTTCTACAGCTAAGTTTTAGCCCCAGGCTCCTTTGCTCCTTCCATCCAGCTTGCGTCAGAACGTCCCCACACTTGTGGAGAGAGAAAGCTTGACAGATACAGCAACAGGAGCATTAAAATCTTGTGGAACCCGCAACGACCATCATCCAGGGAGGGGCTGCTATTTCAGATACCTGCAGGAGGCCCCTCCAGCAGCGCCCAAGATGTGTTCTTTTCCACCCTGGCCTTGACATCAGACCACAAGGAAATCTCAGTTCTGTGTATGGCAGACACGAACTAGCCCTGAAAATCCTTGAGAATAGGAAGTCGTACCCTTTGAAATAAAGGCGGAGGAGGAGGTGGGAACATTTCCTGCCACGCCCTCAGCCCCTCGCCGTCCACAGGCTGAGCTGCGCCTCTGCTCCCCAGGTGCAGACCCACCCTGTGTCAAGTGAAGACTTGATGTGGTAGAGAGTTCGATTTGGTGTAACGCAAAGTATGTATTCTGGTTAAACGTTTCCGGGAAAAATGCGAATCTCAACCACAACCATGCCCTCGGGCAAGAGAGCAGACCGCACGGGGTACAGCTGTCACCTTCCTTCAGGTAGTCGCATCCTCACAGCATCCCTGTTCCCCCAGGTCTTTCCTCTGTTCCACGCCCTGGGCGCCAATGGGCTGCTCCTCGAGTATGAAGACATGTTTCCCTACGAGGGCCACCTGAGGCTGCTGAGGGCCAAGCACGCATACAGGTACCCCAGCCACGGAGAAAGCGGCTGCTTGGGGCCGCCCGGAGGTGTGGGCAGGGCAGGCGAGGGTTTGGCAGTGGTGGGGCAGCCCACGTCTGGCTTTTAAACGCCTGTCTTAGTCACGAAAATAAAACACCCTCACTGAAGAGAATTTGGAAACGTTTAGAGGGAGGGTGGAGGATTGGGGAAGGCGGGGGGGTGGGGAAGGGGATGCTGCTCTTTAAGGCCATGGTTGGGACCCTCATCAGGAAAACAAAGATTAAAGGAAAGGGGGTCAGAATCCGTAAAAGTAGATACAGTGCTTGTGGGCGTACCTTGCTGGGCTTTAGAGTTATGGTGTCCATTTTATTATTTTTTTAATGTTTATTTTTGAGCGGGAGGGAGACAGAGGATCTGAAAGCAGGCTCTGTGCTGCCAGAAGACAGCCCAATGTGGAGCTCGAACTCACAAACCATGAGATTATGACCCGAGCTAAAGTTGGGTGTTCAACCCACTGAGCCACCCAGGCACCCCTAGAGTTACGGTGTCCATGTAAATCAATAACAAATAACCCAAAAGGAAAATGAGCAAAGGATATTAACGGGCAGATCCCCCAAAAGAAATTAAAATGTCCGATAAGCATACGATAGTAATAAAGTAAATTAAAACAAGTCAAACACCATTTTGGCTATCCAGTTGGCGAAACTTTTTAAAAAGTTCTAATGCTCTGTGTTCACAAGGTCAGAAAAAGCAAACCTCCCACTGGTAGGCTCTGAAGCACCCCACCGTTCTGGAGGGAGGTTTGGCTCTATGTCAGAACTCCCCAAAATGTCCATGCCCCATGCGCATGCTCAGAGTGTTAACATTGCAGTGAGGTGTCTTTTCACACTATTCTGTTTTTCTTCAAACAGTGAACACCTTTTGTTTGTTTAGTGTGTTTTTTCAAGTGGAAAAAGTGCTGGGGTACCTGTGAAGCTTGAAAAAGGTCTATTTAAAATCAGTACATTCAGGGGCGCCTGGGTGGCGCAGTCGGTTAAGCGTCTGACTTCAGCCAGGTCACGATCTCGCGGTCCGTGAGTTCGAGCCCCGCGTCGGGCTCTGGGCTGATGGCTCGGAGCCTGGAGCCTGTTTCCGATTCTGTGTCTCCCTCTCTCTCTGCCCCTCCCCTGTTCATGCTCTGTCTCTCTCTGTCCCAAAAATAAATAAACGTTGAAAAAAAAAATTTTAAAAAATAAAAAAAAAAATAAAATCAGTACATTCAGAGAACTGATTAACTTAAGAAATGGTTCAAACACATACAGAAACTGGAAATCATTTTCCTTTTGAGATAAGTTCATGAACGACAACTGGTAACGCAGTGGGCAACTAGCCCTCCTGCGTGCTGTCCTCACCACCTGGAGCATTCCTGCCCTCAGGCGTGCTCACGGACGGAAGCTAACCCCCACGGGGCTGAGTCCCGCCACCGCAACCTTGAAGCTCTTTTCTCTTTCCTCTATTAAAGGGGTCACCGGCTTTTCTGTAAAGGGCCAGACAGGATTTTAGGCTGTGCAGCCCACCTGGCCTCTGTTACAACCATCTGTGGAGCACAGGCAGTCATGGGTGATAATGTAAATGAGTGAGCATGGCTGTGTTCCAATAAAGCTGTTTGTGGGTACTGAAATTCGAATTTCGTATAATTTTTACATGTCATAAAATATTATTCCTCTTTTGATTTTTCTCAACCATTTTAAACTACAGAGGCCATTTTTAGGTCATGGGGCGTGTGAAAACAGGCAGGCAGATTTGTCCTTCCGCCCATCTACCATTCCTGCTTTAGGATATGATTTCTAATTTCTTGTAAAATGACTTGCTTCTTATAGTTTGGGTAAGAATAGCAAGTAAAAAGCAAACTGTTATTTGAGAACATAACAGCATCATTTTCCAAAATTCTAGAGAGCCCTCTCTGAAACCTTAGGCATATCTTTTGTACTTTTTGGAATAGTGACCAATGGCGACCATACCAGTTTCCCAAGGAGAGTCCCCCTGGAGCCTGACAAGGGAGAGGGAACGTGAACAGGAGCATGAGTGTGTGTGTGTGAACATGGGCTGGGGTGTGAACAGGAGGTGGTGCGAACTGGAGCTCTCGTGTGAACGGGAGGTGTGAATGGGAGCTCTTGTGTGAATGGAGGTGGTGTGAACCTCTCTGGGTGATCGATGTTTGTCTCTCTAGCCCCCCTGAAATCAAAGAGATCCTGCATCTGGCTGCACTGAATGAGCTAGAGGTCATTCCATTGGTACAGACATTTGGACACATGGAGGTAAGTGGGAGGAACAAAGGTTCCTGATACCCAGGTGTGGGGCTCAGGGGTACACAGGCAGGGAGCAGCTCTTTCTTGCAAGCCCCTGCCCTGCAAACGACCGGAGAGCACAGGACTCTAGATCAGAGCGACTTTGTCCAAGGAATGGTGGGAAAGAGCCAGTGGGGGATGCATGATTCCCATGGAGCCCTGGGGGCTGAGTTGTTTTACTTTTTAACTTGTATTCATCATTCAATACTGAAAATATTTCCCCAAGCTCTTGTGTGATCTTCGGAAACATTTTTCACGTCTGCATCAAAAATGAAAAGCAAATTAAACGCTTAGTGGCTGCAGGTTCCGTTTTTCCCTCTAACAGATACACCTGCTAGACCCACGGGCAGCCCTTCCTTCCCTTCTCGAGCTGAGCACCGGGACCGCCCCCGCCCCCCCCCCCCAGCCCCCCACACCGCCCAGGCCTCTGGCCTCTAACCTTCCTGTCGCAGCTCCGTGATGCGCTCTCTGCGCTCCTCACTTCCCACCACCAGGGGCCACAGAGCATCTCCACAGCCCCCCTACCCCACCCCGTCCTCCGAGTCACTAAATGCAGCCACGGGTTCTCATCCCTTTAACTTGAGTCTCGGGCTTTACGTGGCCCCAGCTGCTCCTTCCCAAACCCCACACTGTTCCAGCCCCCCACTTCTGGCTGTGCTTCTACTCTGCCAGCAGCGTGCTATCCTGTAGCTGCCGCTGGATGTGGCGGTCCCCACAGCTTCTCTCGAAACCCTCCCTCCTCACCTCACGCTCTCCCTAGACAATGCGGTGCCCACTCCTGCCTCCCCTCCCTGTGCTCCGTGACCCCCAGACCCAGTCTCCGCTGCCCTGTTCGGCACCCCTCCCACCCCTGCAGTTCGGACCTTCGCCATGTGCCTTTGCTCCTCAGGCTCTTGAGTTGGCACCTGCTATCCCTGTCTCCACCCTTGTGCGAACTACCGCCTGACCTGCTGGAAGGCCCCCCTAGCGGTGCCCTCTGCCCCTTTCTCTGTCGTTCCAGAGCACAGCCTGGCCCCCCAATCCTGCCCCTTGAGGGGGCCCTTGCGGGGCTCTCAGGGTGCATTTGTTTCCGGGGGCCACTGCAGTAAAGTGTTTCAACCAGGCGACTTGAGACTACGGAAGTGTGCTCTCTCTGTGCTGGAGACCACAAATCCAAAGTTAAGGTGTCCTCAGGTTGGTTCCTTCTGGAGGAGGTCCTTTACCTGTGTTTACGTACCATGAGGACACCCCCTTTGTTTTTTGGGTTTAAAAAAAATTTTTTTAAATGTTTATTTATTTTTGAGACGGAGAGACAGAGTGCAAGCAGGGCAGGGGAAGAGAGAGAGGGAGAACGGAATCCGAAGCAGGCTCCAGGCTCTGAGCTGTCAGCACAGAGCTCGATGAGGGGCTCAAACTCACAGACCGCGAGATCATGACCTGAGCCGTAGTCGGCCGCCCAACCGAATGAGCCACCCAGGCGCCCCAGAATACCCACTTTGTGACATAGCTGTATGAGTATTTGCACATTTTGTCTTCTGAACTGTTCAGTTTTTAACGTTCTCTGGACATTCTGGATACAAGTCTGTTAGATGTGTGATTTGCAAGTATTTGCCCCCAATCTGTACTTTGTCATCATCGTCTTAGTGTATCTCAAAGAACAAAAGTCTCTAATTTTGATGAGTCCAGTTTCTCAGCTTTGCTCTGATGGGTCGTACTTTTGGTGTCATTTCTCTGCCAGTCACCAGATCATGAAGATTTTTCCTGTTTCCTTCTAAAGTTCTACATTTGCACACTTCCCACTTGCTGTTATGGTCCGTGTTGACTTAATTCTTGTGTAAGGCCTGAGGTGTAGGGTGAGGTTTATTGTGTTTTGCACGTAGCCTATGACCCCTCAAGATGACTGGTCATGCCAGCACCACTGATTGGAAGATTATCCTTTCTTTGGAATTTGAAATTTGGAATTGCCTTTGTATCTTTGTCAAAAACCAGTCGACATTATTTGTGGCCCATTTCTGAACCATATATATATTTTTTTTTTTTCTAAATTTTATTTATTTTTGGGACAGAGAGAGACAGAGCATGAACGGGGGAGGGGCAGAGAGAGAGGGAGACACAGAATCAGAAACAGGCTCCAGGCTCTGAGCCATCAGCCCAGAGCCCGACGCGGGGCTCGAACTCACGGACCGCGAGATCGTGACCTGGCTGAAGTCGGACGCTTAACCGACTGCGCCACCCAGGCGCCCCTATATATTTTTTAATGTACATTTATTTATTTTGAGAGAGAAAGAGCATGGGGAAGGGGGCAGAAAGAGAATCCCAAGCAGGCTCCACACAGCTGTCCTCAGAGCCCAGCGCGGGGCTTGATCCCACCAACCATGAGATCGCGACCTGATCCAAAACCAAGAGTCGGACGCTCAACTAACTGAGCCACCCAGGCGCCTCATGCTTCTCCATATATATTTTAGACTAAGTTTATCTGTATGTCTTTAAGAAACCTTGCTGGGATTTTGATTGAAATTGTATCAAGTCTGTAAGTCAACTTGGGGAGAAACTACCTCTACTCTGCTGACTTCTCCGATCCGTGAACAGGCTCTGTCAGCCTTTCCTTATGTTATTATTTCCCAAAGTTTTTTCTTTTCCTGATGCTTTCAGGACTTCCTGTGTACGTTTGCCTTGCTGTAGTGGTTTGGTTAGTAGGACTTCTAGGTCTGGGTTTCTGTGCATTTATCCTGCTTGGGGCTCGTCGAGCTTCTTGGAACTGTAGATTATTTTCCTCACTTTTGTGAAGTTTTGGGCCACGTCCTCAAGTGTTTCTGTGTCCATTCGCTCCTCTTGGCCAGGGCTCCCTTCGCATGTGCGTTAGGGCACCTAATGTCACCGCACGAGCTTCTGAGTCTCTTTGTTCTCCCCACCTTTTCTCTGTGTTGTTGAGCCTGAGGAGACTCTATTGGTCTGTCATCCCAATCACTGTTTCTTCTGATGTTTCAAATCTTCTGTGGAGCCCACGAAATGGATTTTCATTTTTCATTATTATAGTTTAATTCTGGGAACATTTTCATAATGGTTTCTTTGAAGTAATTGATAAATCTGACATTTGGGCCCACGTCAGTGTTGGTTTCTATCAATTGGCTTTTTCCCTGAGTCTGGGTTCCACTTTCCTGTTTATTTGCACATCTCATGATTTTTTGGTTGAAAATTGGACATTTCGGATAATATGTTATAGAGAATCTGACTTTTTCCCCTGCAAGTGGTTGGAATTGCCTGGATTTAATCTGCAGGCCTGTGTCCCCAGCTGTGTGTGGCTACTGATGCCTGTGTGTGTGTGTGTGTGTGTGTGTGTGTGTGTGTGTGCGCGCGCGCGTTAACGCTTATTTATTTTTGAGAGACAGAGACAGAACATGAAAGGGGGAGGAGCAAAGAGAGGGAGACACAAAAGTTGAAGTAGGCTCCAGGCTCTGAGCTGTCAGCACAGAGCCCAACATGGGGCTTGAACTCACAAACCATGAGATCATGACTTGAGCTGAAGCTGGACGCTTAACCGACTAAGCCACCCAGGTGCCCCTATACATTATTTAAAAAAATTTTTTAACAGTTTATTTATTTTTGAGAGACTGAGAGACAGAGTACAAGTGGGGGAGGGGCAGAGAGAGAGGGAGAGCAAAATAAGATAAAAAGATACTAATGATAGGAGCTAAGAGCAAACAGTGTATTCAGAAGTAGAGAAGCCCAGGCAAGTAATAGCCAGACAGAAGGGTACAGAGAATCAAGCTTACCAGGCCCAGGAATGAATTATGACAAAAAAAGGAAACAAAGAGACTAAACTAGAAGGACACAGAAGTGAGTAGACACCTGTAAAGTATACTTTGGGAAGTAAATAACTTAAGAAGAAATGTCACACATGAAGAGATAAAAAAGCGCCAGTAACAAATCTCGATAAATACGGAAGATACAGGGTCCACCCCTGCTGCTGGAGCCACTGCCCCAGTGGACCTGGCTGCTGGGGGGGGGGGCTCCACCACCCCAAAATTAGGAGGGGGCTTCAGACAGCAATTCCTTCCATCTGTTTCTTTGGTCTGCGGGTGTAGTTCTGCTGGTCTGCCCTCGGCTCCTGTGTTTGGTGGAACCCCTGATCCACTAGGGAATGCCAGTCCCAGATGGTCTTTACATGTCCAGCAGTTATGCCACGTCCGCTGGCCCCTCAGTTCTGCTCCACGGGTGCCTGGGCCTCACAGAGGGCAGGCCAGCCTCCTGTCTTCGCACGGCAGTCACAGGGCAGCATTTGGCCCAAAGTTGCAGCCATCCTGGGCCTTGGCGTGATATTCAAGCAAGTCCATGTCAGCCCAGATTCAAGGCTGGTAGACCCCACCTCTTTGATGAGGAAGATGCTGTGTTCAGCCATGCCCAACAGTCCTCAGAGCAGGGAACCAAAGCAGTGCTCTAGGACAAATGCTCAGAAACTACAATCCAAAAATGCTGTGAAATTAAAGAATACTCTGGTCTGGCTGTGAAAGGCATACTGTGTACCTAGGATGAGGATACTAAGGCAACTTTGGTAAGCAAAAGTCGATTAAAGAAAATGAAAAATGAACAACCCTTTGGGCACACGAAAAAAAGGCCCGGTTCTGAGCAGGAAGTTTGAAAATTAGGGCTGGCATCAGATATTTGACAGCAACATTTTATGACAGAAGACAAGGAAAAGAAATATACTTAAGGTACTCAAGAAATGAAACATGAATCAAGGATTTTGTAACTAACCAAATGGTCTTCATGGTATGTAAAAAAAGCTACAGACCAGCTATTGTGTAAACATCCAAGAGAATTTACTGATGAAATCACCAGCTGCAGTGGCAGGACTGAGTAACCAAATAATTGCTGGTACCGTCTTCTAAGGAAGCATTCCAGCCAACAGACATGAATGATCGCCATTGAAAGTCGCCCACCACAGTTCCTGTTCGTGGTGCCCCGGTAATGTCAGGCGGTAGTTGAAACCA